TTTTTAAAAGGATTTTTAAAAAGAAAATCACTGGCGCCAAAATGGAGAAAATCTGCTGACAAATCATTGTCGCAGCCTTCATGCAGCCACTCCAATACGATTTACGAAGTCCAGCTGCAAAAGACAATAGTATTGCGCATGCAGCCGTGGCAAGAAGCAACCTTGACGCAGCCATTACAATGCGATCTGCAGAGACTGAGTTGCAAAGCACAATAGAACTACGCGCAACGGCGTCGGAAATTGCAGCTCCAAAACCGGATCTCGACGCCAGAGCGAAAAAAAAACGATTTTGAAGCACTTTTTAAAAGGATTTTTAGAAGGAAAATCACTAGCGCCAAAATGGAGAAAATCTGCTGACAAATCACTGTCGCAGCCTTCATGCAGCCACTCCAATACGATTTACGAGATCCAGCTGCAAAAGACAATAGTATTACCAATGCAGCCACAGCACGAAGCAACCTTGACGCAACCACCCGACACTGCGGGAACGATCCTACATAAAACATAGGCTTTCGTGCATCTGCTATCTCTTAAAAACGCATTTCGTGCGAGACTTCCTTCAAAACTCCATCGGCAACTCATCCACCAGCACCACTTGCAATCCCATTTACATTGCGGGAACGATCCTAGAGTTGCAAATCACAATGGAATTCCATCGGCAACTCATCCACCAGCAACACTTGCAATCCCATTTACATTGCGGGAACGATCCTACAGTTGCAAATCACAATGGAATTCTGTCGACCGCACATGCACGAAAAACACTTGAAACCCCATTTACAATGCGGAACCGATCCGAGACCGATCCGAGACCGATCCGACCACACACGAGACCGTCTCGCACCCGTCGCACCGCAGAGGTAGATCATCGAGGTTCGGGGACGAACTTTGTATGGAAAAACATAGGCTTTCGTGCATCTGCTATCTCTCAAAAACGCATTTCGTGCGAGACTTTCTGCAAAACTCCATCGGCAACTCCTCCACCAGCACCACTTGCAATCCCATTTACAGTGAGGGAACGATCCTAGAGTTGCAAATCACAATGGAATTCCATCGGCAACTCATCCACCAGCCCCACTTGCAACCCCATTTACAATGCGGGAACGATCCTACAGTTGCAAATCACAATGGAATTCTGTCGACCACACATGCACGAAAAACAGTTGAAACCCCATTTACAATGCGGAACCGATCCGACCATGATCCGAGCATATCCGACCATGATCCGACCACACACGAGACCGTCTCGCACCCGTCGCACCGCAGAGGTAGATCATCGAGGTTCGGGGACGGACTTTGTATGGAAAAACATAGGCTTTCGTGCATCTGCTATCTCTCAAAAACGCATTTCGTGCGAGACTTCCTCCAAAACTCCATCGGCAACTCCTCCACCAGCACCACTTGCAATCCCATTTACAGTGAGGGAACGATCCTAGAGTTGCAAATCACAATGGAATTCCATCGGCAACTCATCCACCAGCACCACTTGCAACCCTATTTACAATGCGGGAACGATCCTACAGTTGCAAATCACAATGGAATTCTGTCGACCACACATGCACGAAAAACAGTTGAAACCCCATTTACAATGCGGAACCGATCCGACCGATCCGAGCATATCCGACCATGATCCGACCACACACGAGACCGTCTCGCACCCGTCGCACCGCAGAGGTAGATCATCGAGGTTCGGGGACGGACTTTGTATGGAAAAACACAGGGTTTCGTGCATCTGCTATCTCTCAAAAACGCATTTCGTGCGAGACTTCCTCCAAAACTCCATCGGCAACTCCTCCACCAGCACCACTTGCAATCCCATTTACAGTGAGGGAACGATCCTAAGTTGCAAATCACAATGGAATTCCATCGGCAACTCATCCACCAGCACCACTTGCAATCCCATTTACATTGCGGGAACGATCCTACAGTTGCAAATCACAATGGAATTCTGTCGACCACAAATGCACGAAACACAGGTGACACCCCATTTACAATGCGAAACCGATCCGAGACCGATCCGAGAGACCGATCCGACCACACACGAGACCGTCTCGCACCCGTCGCACCGCAGAGGTAGATCATCGAGGTTCGGGGACGGACTTTGTATGGAAAAACACAGGGTTTCGTGCATCTGCTATCTCTCTCAAAAACGCATTTCGTGCGAGACTTCCTCCAAAACTCCATCGGCAACTCCTCCACCAGCACCACTTGCAATCCCATTTACAGTGAGGGAACAATTTCTTTGCTAACTCTTTCTGTGACGAACTCTTTCCCTCACTAACTTTTTCTTTGACTAACTTGTTTCTTTGCTAACTCTTTCTTTGACTACCTCATATATCCTGACTAACTCTTTCTTTGACTAACTCTTTCCCTCACTAACTCTTTCTTTGACTGACTCTTTCCCTCACTAACTCTTTCTTTGACTAACTCTTTCCCTGACTAACTCTTTCTTTGACTAACTCTTTCCCTGACTAACTGTTTCTTTGACTAACTCTTTCTTTGACTAACTCTTTCCCTGACTAACTATTTCTTTGACTAACTCTTTCTTTGACTAACTCTTTCCCTCACTAACTCTTTCTTTGACTAACTCTTTCCCTGACTAACTTGTTTCTTTGCTAACTCTTTCTTTGACTAACTCTTTCCCTCACTAACTCTTTCTTTGACTAACTCTTTCCCTGACTAACTCTTTCTTTGACTAACTCTTTCCCTGACTAACTGTTTCTTTGCTAACTCTTTCTTTGACTAACTCTTTCCCTCACTAACTCTTTCTTTGACTAACTCTTTCCCTGACAAACTCTTTCTTTGACTAACTCTTTCCCTGACTAACTGTTTCTTTGCTAACTCTTTCTTTGACTAACTCTTTCCCTCACTAACTCTTTCTTTGACTAACTCTTTCCCTGACTAACTGTTTCTTTGCTAACTCTTTCTTTGACTAACTCTTTCCCTCACTATCTCTTTCTTTGACTAACTCTTTCCCTGACTAACTGTTTCTTTGACTAACTCTTTCCCTGACACTAACTCTTTCTTTGACTAACTCTTTCCCTCACTAACTCTTTCTTTGACTAACTCTTTTCTTTGCCTAACTCTTTCCCTCACTAACTCTTTCTTTGACTAACTCTTTCCCTGACTAACTGTTTCTTTGACTAACTCTTTCTTTGACTAACTCTTTCCCTGACGAACTCTTTCTTTGCTAACTCTTTCTTTGACTAACTCTTTCCCTGACATTCTAAAAGTCCGTAACACGGAAGTTTCTCCCCCTAAACTTCCTTTGATAATATAGCGGAGCCTGCATCAGGCAATACTTTTGAGAATGCTTCTGGGAAGGAAAAAAAAACAGCAAAGATAGCCTCCCCACCTCTTTCTCCAAAGCCTTTACCGACTGAAGCTTCAACCCACAGGTTTCCAAGGCAGTGGCTAGGACTTCAAAGTTGCATGACAATGTTGGCGTGCACTGGACAATGTCATCACCCTTCACCCCTCTGGCGAACTTCAACCAACCCGCTCCACGACGAAAGCGAGATCTGATCCTGGCAAGCCTTTCCCACTTTTGGGCAAGGATAGGTGTGAACTTGCGGCTCCCCGAGTCTTCGCCATCTCTCTCACTCTCCCTGATTTTGATTGAACCTTGAGATAACACAGCGTCAGCCGTGATTCATACCTTGAATGGTGATGGAAACAGGTGAGAGTTGCAAGTCATGCCTGCGTTTGAGGAATGTGCGGTGAGCCAGATGTTAAATGGCCAAAAAAATCACCACATCATATTTGTTATTCCTATATTTAATTGTAAATATATATATATACTTTCATTATATCAACCCCATACCAAAACCCGGATTGGGATTATCACCACACATATTCATATGACAGATTCCGATGGTGCCTCCATGAAGTTCAGGCGCAAGGAAGTCACCACACCTGGGGTGGCTGAAGGAACCTCTCTTTTTTCATCCCTTTCTGATAAAGTTACGGTTTGAAGTAAAGGGGGGATCCAAAAAAAAACAGCACTGTAGAACCGAACCAAGCCCTGTTCTGCGGAACTACTGCCGCCCAGGAACCATTTCAAAGTGAATGGAGCCCTGCGGCTGATGGGCAATGAGTACAAGTCAAGCCACAAAACAAGGGTCAGAGGATCTGATCATGGATGAATATGGCCAAGGTTTTTTTACATATCTTTGATCTTTGATCCCAGAAAGAAAGACTTTCCAGCAGCCGGCAAAACCATCAACTCCCCCAAAAAATGGGAGCACCTCCTCAGAGTTGAAGATGTCTCCAGCTCGATCGGCACCGGGCAACAGCGCAAAAGCGCCGATGAACATGGGGGTGGGATCTGAAAGTGGCCCTGTCGATTTATAATTATGTTTCCATTTATGATACATATCATGTAGGTTGGTGTTGGGAACCTATATCGGCATGTATGATATACAGGGTGATACAAGTATATTTCGGAGATATGTAATGCGGAAAAGTCCATACTAGAATCATATAAGCCTATATGTCTCAGCAAACATTGGCATTGAACCATCACTGTGATGAGACTTGGTGAAGATGTTGGGTTCATCCAACAAAAATGAACATGTAGAATCATATCAGGATAAATATATTGTACCTCTATAGATCTAAAGCATTCCCTTGACCCACGCACAGTCCACCAAAGACATCAATATGTTTGAAGTTGCATGTTTTTGCCCTTTATACCCAAAGTTGCCTATAAAATCAAAAGTGGCAGAAATAACTGCCACTAGCCCAAAAACGCGCAAACTTTCAAAGTTGCCTAAAAAAAGTGGCAACTATGGTCTTCCAGGAAGGTGTTAGTGCGGATTCAGTGGGAGCAGTTGTGTGGATCGTTTTTTTGGTGGATGCTCTGACAGTTCTCTGCACTGTGGTTCTTTGATAAGTTTGCTTGAGTTGTTAACGTTTCTTCTGGTCTTAGCACGGAGCATTTTGCCCCGCAGCAGGATGATGATGTGGATGCATTGAAAGCTAGACTAGAGGAGCTTCGTATGGATGGCCGTCGGGAAGGCGTGAAGTGGCTTCGAAAGGTTGTTGGTGAGATGGAAGAGCATGCGCTGCGGTCCCTGAGCGCAGCGGCTGGCTTGGGGCTGTTCGATGGCAGCGGAAAGTCGCTTTCTGGCGCCAAAGTTCGGGCATCGTTGGTGAAGTATCTGGCTCCTGAGGCGGGGGAGTGGGGATGAGATATGGAATGTTTGTGTTGTTTTAGTGGAATGCTGAGCGACTGAGTGTTGTCAAAAAGGAGGTCAGCAATGCATCTTGACATCCTGACATTTTCAGAGCTTGAGAATATTTGCAACTTCACCTACTAGTTATGTCAAAACAAGCACAGCTTTCGTTTTGATTGTCGGTCAGGATAGAAAGGATGATCGGAACGATATCGGTGCAAGACTTTGGTGTTGGGTGTCGCAATGCTGTGAGAGCGACGCAGCACTTGGCACGGAATTGTTGAGGCAAACAGTGGCATTGAAGGAGCACAGGACAAGGCTACTGTCGATTTTGTCCGGCAAATCATTGTCTACTGTGGAAGGATTGCATTTGAGTGACGAGCACTTATGTTCGCGTGTTGTGGATGCCACGTTGCCTGTGCTGGCTGCCATCGAAGCTGCCAAGTCGCGCATGCCGGTTGCACCGCCCAAGGACTTGATGGATGTGCCTGGAATTTTTACTTGCCTCGGAACAGAGAACCTTTCGCGGCACCAGAGCATTGTGTTGTTAACGTGTTTGCTAAGCTGCCGGGACATCGTGTCGATGCAGAAATTAGGCTGGAGCGTTGGGATGCGATTAGTGGGATCCGAAGTTTGAAAATCAAACTACTTGACAGAGTAAGAGAATTGTATTTTGCTTCAAGCAGATAGATATATCCTGTTGCAGGTGCTTGGAGTCGCCTTGTGGATTTTCCACGGGAACACGATGTTTATGATGTTGCTGGACGCCTTTGGGATGTGCACACGTTGAGATCGGACTTTGAATGGCAACCTGGCAGTGGCTACCAAGATCGCGCCGATGTGGCGGAGGCTTTGGGGTTAGGGGAGATGATTGGTGAGATGTAGAAAGAATGGTTGGATGGAGCTGTTCGTAGTTGAGTGGTTGATTCGCTGCAAGATGACATTAGGCTTTAGTCGTTGTAGGATAAAGCGTTTGCTAGCATCTTCCCTTTGCAGGCTGTGCTGGATATTTTGTGGGGCAGAAAAGCTTTGGTTGTGGAGGAGGATGGAGAATTGCATCAGCGACAGGGGAAGCTGGATGATGCAGATGCACTATACTTGCGTTGCTTGATGCGGAAATATGGGTGGGAACTGGAGGAGGAAGAGGTAATGGTGTGTTTGTGGAGGCAGTGTTTCGAGCCCCGCGTGTACAACAAGAAGAAATTGGTGGAGTTCGCATGGGTGGTGCACCCGCGTGCAGACAGCACTTTGGATGCATTGCGACAGCGTCACAATCCGGTGCTTGTAGCGGAACGTCGTGCCTCCAGGCAAGTTGTTACTTGTTGCTTTGGAAATAAATATGAGGCAGGATCGTAGTGAATGTTCGTGACGCTTGTAGACTATTAGAGGCACTTGCAGGCTATTGAAAGGTTTGTAGAGCTTTGGATATTTTTATGTGGCCATAGTGGCTTGGGGTAGAGGTAGATTTGCTAGAGCGCAGCAGTGGTTGTTAAGATTGTTTGCTGTGTGATGTTAGACCTAGTAACGTCAGAATGCGATGATGATTCTTGACCCTTGACACAGGGATGGAGTCGATGCAGTCGTGCTGCAGCTCTGCGACGACATTGTGGAATGGCAGCGTGAGAACGATTGCATGAGGCTGCCAAGCTTGGAGGAGCATCGAGTGCTGGCCCTGGGGATTCAGAGGTATTTGGAGAAAGATAAGCAAGTGCGTGTTTCTTCCATGAGCCAAACTTTTCCCTCCGACGTTGATGCAGTGCAAGCTTTACACCTTGATTGCTTGGAGCCGTCTGAGGACATGGAAGGAGGTATGAAGTGGCGATCGGACTACGAAAGAGATCTGCTGCAGTCCATCCCTGGGTCTTTACAATATCTAGATTGATAGCCTTACTTGGAGGGCCGGGGGCGGTTATAAGTACATAGCAAGGTTAGAGCACTTATATAACCTACTTACTAAGTGCTGTAAGCTACCTTATAAGTGGTGCTAAGTTATCTTATAAGTGGTGCTAAGCGGGTTGCTGTCTCTAAGTCACCTACGTAAGTAGTTACTGTTTTCGGCTAAGTATATATTATGTTCCATAAATGATTACGCAACTTATGGCACTTGGCTAACCACTTGGCCTATGTGGGCTAAGTGAGATAGGCAGATTACGCCCTAAGTGGCCTAAGTCCTGTAAAGGACTTACGCTACTTACGTATCTAGGCTATGTGCATTTACAAACATTTGCGGAAACACAAAGTCCCGTTTCACATTTGGTGGAAGCACAAAATTCTGAATGGGGTTTTTCGTGGAAACACAAAATTCCGTTGCAAGAATTTCGTGGAAACACAAAAGTCCAAATCGCGTTTTGCGGAAACACAAAAGTGCTCGCGGACTTAGGTAAGTGCTGTAAGCCACTTACGTAAGTGCGCTAAGTGCTGTCCCAGTAAGTCCACTAAGTGACATACTGTAAGCGCTGTATCCAAATAGTAAGTGCCGGATGTACCTAGTATGTCCCTTATATGCTTATAACCGCCCCCGAGCCGCCAAGTAGGCCTTAGCTTCAGACTTTGATAATACGTATATAATTATGACCTGCTCCTATAATACTTTGAGGGGATAGGATGGTTCCCCCACCCTGCCGGGGGGCCAGGTCGGTTCTTTGCCTGAGTCAACACCTTTGTGAGCAGCTTAGTTATTTGATGTTTAACTTTGATTCTTGTATTGCAACCAGAGCTGTTTGAGCATTGAATTTGAAAATGAAGTGCATCAGCATGAGTCAACCAGAACTGTCTGAGACTTGTTGATGCACGCATCTTTGCTTGAGACATTCAGTTTCACCATAGTGCATCCTGTCTCACCATAGTGCATCGGCGTGAGTCAAACAGAACGGTCTGAGACTCCATCGAAGATCAATAAAGCTGCCATATAGTTGTGCCGGGACATCACTGAATGTGATCTGTCACAGTCATTAGTCATAGTCCTTGAATGCTTTGCAGATCCGCATGGTTGGTCTATGTAGCTAGGTTTGCATCGAGTCAGGGCCCCGGGATGGGATGTATTACATGGATAGGCTGCTACCACAAAGAGACAAATCGATATATTATATATTGAGATAGAAATAAAGATATGATATAAAGATGGATATATGACTGTTATGTGAACAGATGAGTCCCTGTTCCAGACCTATTATGTTGGATTCAGAGCGTCCCGCGTTTCAGCTGTTTGCCAACGTTTCAACCGGCATGCAGAGGCAGCGCAGCGACCCATTTTCCTTTTGAGGGGGCTTGAGCCATGAAGTACATGGCGGTGCATATCATCAACACATGCGCAATTGTATGCAGCTATATACATGTGTGATTCTGGTATAGTCCCCATTCGCACCCCCCATGTCCGATGTTTCTTTAAATCTATCGGACACGAAGGATGGGAACTCTTTCGAATTAAAGAATCTATGACGCAGCTACCGCAAAAGTATTGGCTATTGGTTCACCTTCCCTCTTCACCCGATGGGTGTTAGAGTTCAGGATCCCCATATGCAACCGGCTTCGCGGCTTGTCGTGGGTAACTGCGTCGTGCAGTACAATGACTGACCCACATCAAGCTAACCGAATTACGCATGACGAGTTCGGCACAACTGCGTACCCTATGGGTCTTAGCAGAGTGCTTCCCTCATACATTTGCAACGCTAGCTATCTGCAAGACAATCTGTACAAAAGAAAAGTTTGAATTGGATTGGAACTTTGAATTGACTTGGTGAGAAAACTAAGTTAATTCAGCACTAGGCCTCGCTCAGAATCCTCTCAAGAGTCATTCGGTATGACGTTCATCAATGAAGATGAAGATCGCCGCATATAGTGCCCAGCATCCACTTAGTCATCAAATTAGTCAGTGCGTTTCTTCTTATACTGGGGCGCTTGTTGTGGCCTGTCACCAGGTGATGGCCTTTTTGATTTGCCGTTGTGGGCATTGATTGGTATGCGGGTTTGGCCTTAGCAGGACCAGGCGCTGAGGATGAGGAACTCGATTGACCTGGGGCGCTCGATGGCATAGCTTTTGGTGGAGGGGGCTTCGGAGCGTAAGATTTCGGCTCGCCCTTAGCCCTTGCTGCTTCAGATCTCACGGCATCATCAACAGCCCTCTTTGCACCCTCAGTGTTGCCAATTGATTTGTAGACCCTCTTCGCGATGTCAGGATCAACATTCGGAGCTAAGTGCTCCTTCCACTGCAAGTGTCCCTTGGAGGCTTCTTGTTCTGCACGCTTAACAGCGTGTGCAATTCTTCCGGTGAAAGCTTGTGGAAGGATCACATTGCATTGAGTTGCTGTTACCAGCAATTCCATAGATCGCTCCCTTTCCCTGTAGGCCAGGTAGACCGTGAAGGCGGGGATCTCAATGCAGTCTTCGAATCCATGATCGCCTGCTCTGAAATAGGTGTATTGAGTTGAACTTGGAAAAGCACTCTTCAATAACCTACCTAAGAAATCGCTGATCTTCGCCCTCATTTCATTCTTTTCCTCAGGAGTTCCTTTCATCCTGTTCGTTGGAATGAGGAATTGGAGATCGTCGGGCTTGAAGCCTGCAAGCACGAGGCTTTCCATCAGCTTTTCATAGATTTCAAGCGTCTGGATCACGGGTGTCAACATGTCCCGTGGCCGGCCTCCGCACATTTTCTCGCCCTGCATCCATTCTTCCTCTTTTGCCTTGGCTTTGAACATCACATCAAGCTCCTCTTCAGATGGGCGTCTCAGCGTCCCATCATCATTGTCGCCTGTGTAAGGACAAATACCATCCAAGTCCAGCCTCCCAACGCTACCGGTAGTCATTTGGGCCCGGTATTCCTCGGGTGTCATCATGACACGCTGCTTGTAATAGTACTTGTACATGCCCATGATCTTGACCAAAACGGCATTGTCGAAAAGCTGAGCTGCACCTTCGGACGAATCGTTATTGATAAGTCCCTTTGCAGGCAGTCTTCTGCTTCCGACGTCAAGGTTCAATGCCCATCCTGGCATCTTTTCTGCCTCACCGGCAGCCTCGGCATCTCCGGCGTCATCTTCTTCTTCTTCATCAACGGCGACTTCCTCATCTTCGTCTTCCTCTTTCATTTCTTCGTCGCCTTCGTCATAGTCAACCTCGTTGGGGTCAAACCCATAGTCATTGTCTTGGGCGGCACTCTCCTGTGCCTCGTTGACCATGTCCTTGAAGATGGTCTCATTCTGCCGGCGGACTTCTTCATCGATTTGCCTTTTCGTTGCCTCTTCTTCATCTTCCTCCTCGATGATTCTGTAAGGCTTGATGCCATGACGTGCGAGCGCTGTCCAGCACTCCAAGCAAATGGCAAATGTAGTTGGAGTTTCCTTGAGGCAGTGAGGACAGTACCGACACCCTGCTTCGGTAACCGCCTTCTTTTCGAGGATATAATCCACGAGCCTGATGCGGCCCTCGTATTGTTCTTTGCCACCTTCTGGAATCATGTGGTTCTCGAACTTGCTGACGAGGCTCATGGCGTCCATGGTCAGCTCGTCAAAGGGCTGCTCTTCCATGCTCAGGCATTGCTTGGCAAGTCGGAGCAATGACTCCCTTGTTGTAACCACAGAAGACCGCACGCGTCCAATGCGGACGACTTGGTCGTCTCCTGATGGCACAATCAAGCGCTGCCATGCTGCATTGAAGTCTTGAATCCACCCACCCTTGATCTTGGAGAATGGAATGATTTGGTCCGTCACCACTTGTCCTGAGTCTGTCAATCGTCCATTGAACTCGTTCATCAGGATCTCTGTGGGGATGTAGAGGCAAACAAATCCTCCTTTCCTGGTGTCCACACTCTTTGTCACCTTCCAAGAGCGTGGGTCCCATGGAACATAGGGGTTGAAGAACGTGAAAATTCTTGAGTTTCCGCTCAA